CCCCAAATCTGCCTTGGTGACATCTTAAAGGTCAGGAAAAGCACCGTTTCAGGATGCGACCAAAGCCCCCAGGGTTGGGGGAGTGCATGGACCTGCCCGGGGCACCAGCACCGGGGGGACAGCCCTGCCCCCGGCAGAGTGATGCTGATGCCTCCCCCCGACCATGGGATGCATTTCTTAAGATGCTGCATTGTATTTGACCTTCCAAAATGGTCCTTCATGAGCTGCTTAGATGCTAAAATACCTATTTTTGCAAGATTTCACATTCCCTATGTGGAACTTTTCAGCCCAGAGGATGCTGTCCCATCCAGATGGAGAGCAGTTTTGCTTTTTTGGTTTTTTTTTCCCAACAAATAGCTGTGTGCATCATCCTGCAGCACACAAACTGTCCTTGCCCTCCAAATTTTCAGGATCCAAGCTTTTTTCTTTTTCTTTTTCTTTTTTTTTTTTTTATTAACCTGCTGCTGAAACGACAGCTTGTCTTCTCCTTGACCATTAAGATGGCTGTTCCTTAAATGATGTCAAAATCTTTTCACCGAGGTGCTGATCTCGGGTGGGATCTCAGCCCGTTATGACCCAGGTGAGGGCTAAAGGGTGCTCTGTGTGTGCTTCCTCCCAAGGTGACCCCCTCGGTGGGCAGCAAGCTGAAGCGACCCACCTTCCACTCCAGCCGAACCTCCCTGGCTGGGGACACCAGTAACAGCTCCTCACCAGTCTCTACAGGTGCCAAAACCAGTCGGGCAGGTAAGTTTAGGTGCAAAGACGAAAAAAAAAACCTCCTCCCAACGATGTTCTTACTTGGGTGCTTAAATGGGGAGAGAAAATATTTGAATATTTAGAGAGCTCGCAGTGAGTTGGGGAGGCCCCACTGCTGTGTCCCTGCCTGGGAGAGGGAATGCTCCCGCGGTTTTAGAGTCACGGAGTGGTTTGGGTTGGAATGGACCTTAGAGATTATTCTATTCCACCCCCCTGCCCTGGGCAGGGACACCTCCCACCAGACCAGGTTGCTCCAAGCCCCATCCAACCTGGCCTTGAACCCCTCCAGGGATGGGGCAGCCACAGCTTCTCTGGGCAACCTGGGCCAGGCTCTCACCACCCTCAACATAAAAACTTTCTTCCCTATATCTAGTCTAAATCTTCCCTCTTTAAGGTGGAAGCCATCACCCCTTGTCCTGTGGCTCCCCTCCCTGATCAAGAGTCCCCCCCAGCTTTTCTGGAGCCCCTTTAGCGACTGGAAGGGGCTCTAAGGTCTCCCCGGAGCCTTCTGTTCTCCAGGCTGAACCCCCCAACTCTCTCAGCCCCCCCTCCCAGCAGAGGGGCTCCAACCTTTGGACCACCTCCGTGGCACTTCTACACTGCAAGGGTTCTACTTCTACAGCAGAGGGCTAGAAAGGTGATGAGGGGCCTGGAGCATCTCCCTTATGAGGAGAGGCTGAGGGACTTGGGTCTTTTTAGCCTGGAGAAGAGAAGGCTGAGGGGGGATCTGATCAACACCTATAAATACTTAAAGGGTGGGCATCAGGAGGATGGGGCCAGTCTCTTCTCAGTGGTGCCCAGTGACAGGACGAAGAAATGGGCACAAACTTGAATGTACGAAGTTCCATCTAAACATGGGGAGGAACTTCTTCATTTTGAGGGTGGCAGAGCCCTGGCAGAGGCTGCCCAGGGAGGTGGTGGAGTCTCCTCTGGAGACATTCAAAACCCACCTGGACATGTTCCTGTGCAGCCTGCCCTGGGTGGACCTGCTTTGGCAGGGGGTTGGACTAGATGATCTCCAGAGGTCCCTTCCAATCCCATGTGATTCTGCGATTCTGGTTTGCTGCTGCTTCATTAAAACCTCTGAACTAATTGATTCCTGATGCTGAACCCACCGTTCCAGGGATGCTGGGCGGCTGGTTGAAAGCAGCTGCAGCAGTGCTGGGGATTTGGGTGGGATGGGGGGAGGAATCATCATCATCACCACCACCATCATTTTCTTCCTCCCCTCGGCTCACCGCCCTCTCTCATGACTCCTCCAGATCCTAAAAAAACAGCCAGTCGTCCCACCAGCCGTGCCGGGAGCCGGACGGGCAGCCGGGCCAGCAGCCGGCGGGGAAGCGACGCCTCCGATTTCGACCTGCTGGAGACGCAGTCGGCGTGTTCGGACACTTCGGAGAGCAGCGTGGCCGGCGGGCAGGGCAGCTCGCGCCGGGGCATGGCCAAGCCCTCCAAAATCCCCACCATGTCCAAGAAAACAGGCGCTGCCACCCCAAAAACTCCAGGCCCTAAAAGATAATACTGTACCCACGTCCTCCCGAAAGAAAGAAAACCCAACCTGTGTCCAATTTTTAACCCTTCTACGTACATTGGATGTATATTTATTCTAAATGGGAGAAACTATATTGTTAAAAGTGTAAAAGAAGGTTGTGTTATGAAGCTGCCTTATTTGTTTTTGTTTTTTTTTTCCTTTTTTGTAAGTTACTATTTTCATGTGAATATTTATGTAGATAAAAAAAATTGCCTCTCGGTGACCCCTGTTCAGGGAGGGGCCTGGAAAACTGAAATGTGGGAGAGAAAGAAAAAAAAAAAAAAAAAAAAGAAAAAAAAAAAGAAGCAAAAAAAAAAAAGGTCAAGATGTGAAAGTGTAAAGAAAAACTAAAATATAAATAGGATTTCTGCGCGGTGCAGGGTGCGAACCTGCTTTATCTTTTAGGATTGTTTCCTAAATGCATCTTTATAAACTTAACTTGCTGTCTCAGCAAGGTAAATTATATTTAAAAACAAAGACCTGAATCCTACAGTGTTCAAGGAACTCTCTTTTTGTAAATCACAGATACCTCAACCAGAGAAACATGAGGTGAGGGGACTCGGGGCTTATGTTTCCATTTTTTTTAAAGCTATGTGGTTTTACCTGAAGAAAGCCGAGTTTGACTTAATAAAATTTGCACACACTACAGCGAAAGTCCTGACAATTGCTGTCTTGAAAATACTGTCCCGGCAACTTCGTTTTTTTAAAAGAACAAATAAATGGTGATGGGTTTTGGGGGAGGGGGGGAGGGTTCACACTGAAGCCGGCCCGAGGAGAGCACGCTGGTAAAATGGGAGGTCGGGATCATGCAGATACATCCCTTTAGCGGTGGTGGGTCCTACAAATTAAGAGGATTCTTCTGGCTTGATGGCTTAAGAGACCGACCCAAGGTGTTCCTTACACAATCGCTATTTATCTGCTTCTCTCTCTTTTTTTTTTTTTTTCCTATTTATTATTTAACTGGTCATTCCACTTCCAACCAGGCTGAGATTGATGTGACCTCTGCTCCTAGAAGAAATCTGGACTTACACGCACAGTCGCTTGTCCTTGAAATCGAGTCTCACCAGCACACTTGCTACAAGTCCTGTCTCGCTTTTGTACGCTACTTTTTCTTTGTAATAAAATCAAACTGACCAAGTGACCAGGAGATGGGCCGGGGGAGAGGGCTCTGCGGAGACCCTCTATTTATTAAATATTGTTCCTTTCCGGCTCTGACCGTGTTGCTGTGTGATTCTCTCAATTGGTTTAAATTGAGGCAAAAACTGAAGCTCTACCAATGAATTGTTTAAAAACAAGACACATTTTTGTATTAAAATTGCTTGCGGTAATAAACAATCTTGCCTCCTACTTTATTCCACGGTGTTAGCTTTGTAAGTACAAGAGCTGGAGGTGTTCATCCCACCCAGGGAGGTGACAGCCGTGGGGTCTCTGCACCCAGGTTTCCTTGCAGAAGGGAGCAGGGAACCACCAGCCCCAAAATAAAAAGGCCTGGATGGGTAGGTGGGTGCTGGGGACTTGTCCCGGTGGTGTGGGTACCCACTGGTGAGGTGGGTGCCCACCGATGAGGATGCCAACTGGTGAGGGTGTCTGTTGGATGGGTGTTTGCCAGTGAGAGGGGCCCGTGAGTTGTGTGCGTGGTGGGGTTGGGTGTTGGTGAGGTGGGTGCTTGGTGAGGTCGGCCTCCATGAGGGTGGGTGTCCATGGAGGTGGGTACACAGGGTGAGGACCCATTGAGCAAAAGGGGTGCCCTTGGGTTTTGGTGTCAATGGGAGTGGATGCCCATGGGTTTGAGTGCCCATGGGGGTGAATAACCATAAGGTTGGATGCCGTGGGTTTGGGTGTCAATGAGGGTGAGCAACCCTAGGGACAGGTGCCCATGAGATGAGCATCCATAGGCATGAGTGTTCATGGACTTGGGTGCCCATGGGTTTGGTTGCCTACAAGGGTGAGCATCCTTAGGGGTGGGTGCCCATGTGGTTGGGTGTCAATGGGAGTGGATGTCCATGGGTTTGAATGTCAATAGTGATGCGTGCCCACAGGTTTGGGTGTTTATGTGTTTGGGTGCCCATGAAGGTGAGCATCCATAGGGATAGGTGAGCATCCATTGGGATGGATGCCCACGGATTTGAGTGTTCGTGTGCCCACGAGGGTGAGCATCCCTAAGTTTGCTCCCCATGGATTCGTATCCCCAGCGCTACACCCGGGGCCGGCAGGCGGGGAGGGCCGGGGCGTCCCGGAGCCGTCGGTGGCCGGGGCGGCGCCGCCGGCGGGACCGTCCCTTTCCCTCGCCCCGCCGGGGCGGG